AGAGACAGGCTCTCCCTTTACAGGCGACGGAAAAGAATAACAGAGCGGCTAAAAGAGGTCAATATATCTGAAATGCGTAGGGAGACACTGGTCAGAGAAATAGCAAGCATCGAACTTAAGCTAAAAGAATCCTTTAGGAGTCAGGAATCGCGGGAAGAACTAAAAGCCATAAATGAAATCGAAAGAAACCCAAAGTATTTCTTCTCCTATGCCAAATCAAAATCGAGAACAACGTCCAGTATTGGGCCCCTACTTAAACAAGATGGGTCCTACACAGATGACAGCAAGGAAATGATGAGCTACTAAAGTCCCAATATGACTCAGTTTTTTAGCAAGCCGCTAACCAGACTGAGAGTCGAAGATAAAAGAATTTTTTATGAGAGAGCCACAAAATTTGATTAACACAACCCTATCCGATTTTATCCTGACGCCAAAGACTTCGAACAGGCGTAAATGACATCCCCCATGCACTCTGATCCAGGGCCAGACTCATGGAACTCTGTGTTCATCAAGAATCTGCAAGAAGCCCCTATCACGAGCCTTTCCATCCTATGGAGAGGGAGCATGGACACGGGGGTCGTCCCCTCAGTTACTAAAAAAAACAGACATAGCCCCACTCCACAAAGGGGCAGTAAAGCAACAGCAAAAAACTACAGACCAATAGCCCTAACATCCCCTATCATAAAAATCTTTGAAAGGGTCCTAAGAAGCAAGATCACCACCCATCTAGAACCCATCATTACACAACCCAGGGGAACATGGGTTTAGAACAGGGCGCTCCTGTCTGTCTCAACTATTGGATCACTACGACAAGGTCCTAAATGCACTAGAAGACCAAAAAGAAAGCAGATGTAATATATACAGACTTTCAAAGCCTTTGACAAGTGTACCATGGCGTAATAGCGCACAAAATGCGTGCTAAAGGAATAACAGGAAAAGTCGGTCGATGGATCAAAAATTTCCTCACTAACAGAACACAGAGAGTAGTCGTCAACAGAGTAAAGTCCGAGGCAGCTACGGGAAAAGCTCTGTTCCACAAGGCACAGTACAGCTCCCATCTTGTTCCTCATCCTCATATCCGACATAACAAGGAAATGTCAGCCACAGCACCGTGTCTTCCTTTCAGATGACACCCGAATCTGCATGACAGTGTCTTCCATTGCAGACATTGCAAGGCTCCAGGCGGCCCATCAACCAAATCTTTCAGTGGGCTGCGGAAAACAATATGAAGTTCAACGATGAGAAAATTTCAATTACTCAGATATGGTAAACATGAGGAAATTAAATCTTCATCAGATACAAAACAAATTCTGGCCACAAAATAGAGCGAAACACCACGTCAAAGACCTGGGAGTGATTATGTCGGAGGATCTCACCTTCAAGACCATAACATTGTATCAATCGCATCTGCTAGAAAAATGACAGGATGGATAATGAGAACCTTCAAAACTAGGGAGGGCCCAAACCCCTGATGACACTCTTCAGGGCACTTGTTCTATCTAGGCTGGAATATTGCTGCACTCTAACAGACCTTTCAAGGGAGGGGTGAAATTGCCGACCTAGAAAATGTACAGAGAACTTTCACGGCGCGCATAACGGAGATAAAACACCTCAATTACTGGGAGCGCTTGAGGTTTCTAAACCGTATTTCCTGGAACGCAGGAGGGAGAGATACATGATTATATACACCTGGAAAATCCTAGAGGGACTAGTACCGAACTTGCACACGAAAATCACTCGCTACGAAAGCAAAAGACTTGGCAGACGATGCACCATCCCCCCAATGAAAAGCAGGGGTGTCACTAGCACGTTAAGAGACCATACAATAAGTGTCAGGGGCCCGAGACTGTTCAACTGCCTCCCACCACACATAAGGGGGATTACCAACAGACCCCTGGCAGTCTTCAAGCTGGCACTGGACAAGCACCTAAAGTCAGTTCCTGATCAGCCGGGCTGTGGCTCGTACGTTGGTTTGCGTGCAGCCAGCAGCAACAGCCTGGTTGATCAGGGGCTGATCCACCAGGAGGCCGCGGGGGCGTTGACCCCCGAAACTCTCTCCAGGTAAACTCCAGGTAAACGGAAGGGATAGACTCAGAAGTGTCCTTGTTTGCAGATGATGTGAAGTTAATGAGAAGAATCAAATCGGACGAGGATCAGGCAGGACTACAAAGAGACCTGGACAGGCTACAAGCCTGGTCCAGCAACTGGCTCTTTGAGTTTAACCCTGCCAAATGCAAAGTCATGAAGACTGGGGAAGGGCAAAGAAGACCGCAGACACAATATAGTCTAGATGGCCAAAGACTGCAAACCTCACTCAAGGAAAAAGATCTGGGGGTAAGTATGACACCGAGCATATCTCCTGAGGCGCACATCAATCAGATAACTGCTGCAGCATACGGGCGTCTGGCAAACCTACGGATAGCATTCCGATACCTCAGTAAGGAATCGTTCAAGACTATACCATTTACGTCAGGCCCATACTGGAGTATGCAGCACCAGTTTGGAATCCACACCTGGTCAAGCACGTCAAGAAATTAGAGAAAGTGCAAAGGTTTGCAACAAGACTAGTCCCAGAGCTAAGGGGATTGTCCTACGAGGAAAGGCTGAGGGAAATCGGCCTGACGACACTGGAGGACAGGAAGGTCAGAGGAGACATGATAACGACATATAAAATACTGCGCGGAATAGACAAGGTGGACAAAGACGGGATGTTCCAGAGAAGGGACACAGAAACAAGAGGTCACAATTGGAAGTTGAAGACTCAGATGAATCAAAGGGATGTTAGGAAGTATTTCTTCAGTCATAGAGTAGTCAGGCCGTGGAATAGCCTAGAAAGTGAAGTAGTGGAGGCGGGAACCATACATAGTTTTAAGGCGAGGTATGATAAAGCTCATGGAGCAGGGAGAGAGAGGACCTAGTAGCAATCAGTGAAGAGGCGGGGCCAGGAGATATGAATCGACCCCTGCAACCACAAATAGGTGAGTACAAATAGGTCAACACACACACACACACACACACGTGGTAATGCTTTATTTACAGCTAGCAAAGTCAGGGTATTTCTCCAGAATGGTCTGTAATATACCACTGTGCATAAAATACTTTGCCATTTAAACATTTCTGGGTGAGTTGTCTCTAAATTCATTAATTTTATCGCACTCCAGTACATAATGACGCAAGGTGTGACAATAGTCCATCTGGCAGAGTTTACATTTCGTTTGGTCTACATCTGGTATTTATGAAGGCAAAGATGAAGTTTCTCTTGGTCACATGGCAGGGAGGAGCGACGTGGAATCCAGGGCACCTGTTGGTCATGTTCGTAAACAGGGCAGCTAAAAGCTTTTCAGTATAACCAAGAGTAATAATAATTATAATAATAATAATAATAATAATAATAATAATAATAATAATAATAATAATAACATTAATAATAATAATAATAATAATAATAATAATAATAATAATAATAATAATAATAATAATAATAATAATATTATTATTATTATTATTATTATTATTATTATTATTATTTTATTAGGGCATAATACATAGTTGTACAGGGTATTATACAATAAGTGTCAGGGGCCCGAGACTGTTCAACTGCCTCCCAGCATACATAAGGGGGATTACCAACAGACCCCTGGCAGTCTTCAAGCTGGCACTGGACAAGCACCTAAAGTCGGTTCCTGACCAGCCGGGCTGTGGCTCGTACGTTGGTTTGCGTGCGGCCAGCAGCAACAGCCTGGTTGATCAGGCTCTGATCCACCAGGAGGCCTGGTCACAGACCGGGCCGCGGGGGCGTTGACTCCAGGAACTCTTTCCAGGTAAACTCCAGGTAATAGTTGGGTGTACATGTCGAAAGTCCCTTGTATGCAGAGCATTACGGACAGGGTTAAAATTAACTTAAGACTATCTAAACTGTAATAGATTTAATGATAACAGTTACTGTAGACAATTTACAATATTTATTTTTATTTATTTATTTACAATTTGAGCACACATACAGAGGTACAAAAAAATACAGATAAGAGCAGCATGCCAAAGCCACTTATACTATGCATAGCATTACGGGCTGGCTTAAAATTAACTTTAGATTAACTAAGCAATGATGAAATCAGTGATAAGACATTAATGTAAACAGATTACTATAAAGCACAAGTGAGTATTACAAAGACAGGTCATATGGTTGCTTGCATTGTTGTACATTCAGTCGTATGAAGTATTCTGTTAGGTAGTGTATTTAAAAAATAATAAAGTTAGATTGGGTTTTAGGTTTAACATTTATGTGATATAATTGTGAGAAACATTTAAGATATACAATTTATAAGGTTCAGTTATTCAGTATTTATTTGGTTTTGGGTGAGTAAGTGATCTTTGAGAAGAGACTTGAATTTATAAACAGGTAGTGTTTCTTTTATATTTACAGGTAATGAATTCCAGATTTTAGGGCCTTTTATGTGCATTGAGTTTTTGCATAGCGTGAGATGGACACGAGGAACATCAAAGAGTGATCTGTGCCTTGTGTTATGGTCATGTGTTCTGTTGAGGTTGGCAAGGAGATGTTTGAGGGGAGGGTTAATATCAGAGTTAAGTGTTCTATGTATGTAATAGGTGCAGTAATAAGTATGGATGTTTTGTAATATCAAGTACAATTGAGTTATTTTAAACAATGAATTTGAACATTTCAATTTTGAAGCGTTATCAGCAATTGTAGTCTCGGGCTGAGCCTGTAATTAGATGGATTATATGCAGAAATCAAGAACTCCAATAGATCAGGATACCTAAATTTGGTTTATCATCTTAAGCAGTATTGGCTATATAGAGAGGAGCATTGGTCACCTCTACGACGACTACGGTCAACTACGCACATGGAAATGCGGTTAGTTATTAAGCATTGTCTTTAGTAAGTAAGTTTATTCAGGTATACACAAATACAGTTACATAGAATTATCATACATAGCAGCATATGTGTAGAGAACCTGGGATAACCCCAAAAAGTCAGACAGAGTGACTTATTTCCATTGGGGTCAGTTCGCTGAATGGCAAGAGAAATATATTAAAAGTGCACGTGAACAGGTATTGTCAGACGTTTTTTCAGTGTATCGGTGCTATGGGATGCATAATAAAGATATTAAACAGAAGCCGATAGTAATTAGCTGTTGCAGGACGCTGTTCGCTTAACATTAAACAGGTACATAGGTGTTAATCAGTTGCTGTGAGTCGCATTCTAGAATTTTTAGTATCAGAGACAGGGCTGAGCTTTAAAATAATGTGAGAAATTATAATAGCTTTTAACCTGTAACTCAGGCCGTATATAAAAAAAAAGAACTTTTCTCTGTAGTATTGTACTCGCCTAATATATGTATACTCATCTATATGTGATTGCCAGGGTTGATTTACAGCTCCTGGCCCCGCCTCTTCGCTGGTCGCTACTAGGCCCACTATCCTGGCTCCAAGAGCTTTATCGTACCTCTTGTTAAAACTCTGAGGCTGAAGAAATACTTCCTAACATCTCTATGCCTCATGTGAGTTTTCTGCTTCCATATGTTCCCTCATGTAATTGTATCCCATCTCTGAAACATTCTGGGCATGTTTACCTTGTCAATTCCTCTAAGTATTTTGTGCATCATTATCATATGCCCCCCTATCTTTTTGTCTTCTAGTGTCCTCAGATTAGTTCCCTTAACGCGTGGTCTGGTAATCAGTGCTTTTACCTCACACTGAGTGTCCGTTTTTCGATCTCCTAGCCAGGTAGAAACACTGGGCATGTTTCCTTAACCTGCTATCCCAGTTCGCCTAGCAGGCAAGTAGGTACTTAGGTGTTAGTCAATTGGTGTGGGTTGCATCCTGGGGACAAAATTGAAGGACTCCAGTGGAAATAAGACGGACAGTCCTTAAAAACGTACTGACTGTCTTGGGTTATCCTGAGTGGCTAACCCTCTGGGGTTAAAAATCCGTATGAAATCTTATCTCTTTTATCTTATCATAGGACATACCCTTTAGCTCTGGGACTAGTCTTGTGGGAAGCCTTTGTATTCTCTAATTTCTTGACTTGTTTGACTAGGCGTGGGTTCCATACTGGTGCTGCATACTCAATATGGGCCTGATGTACACAGTGTACATTGGCGTGAGTAACTCCTTACTTAGATGTTGAAATGCTATTCTTGAGTTTGCCAGGCACCCATAAGCTGCAGCAATTGTTTGGTTGATGTGCACCTCAGGAGATATGCTTGGTATGATATTCACCCCAAGATCCTTTTCCTTGAATGAGGTTTGAGGCCTTTGACCCCCGAGCTTGTGCTCTGCTGTCTTCCTTGTCTTTCCCCAAGCTTCGTATCTTGATATGAGAGGATGGTCAGATAATTGTTCCAGATCATTTCAAAGCACAATGGTAGAGTGCTTTACTTAACTGAAAGAACCTAAGTATTGTAGTTTGGTCCCCAGGAGAAGCAGTAAATTGGTACCTAAGAGTTAGCTGACTGTTGTGTGTCGTGTCCTAGGGACAAAGAAGATGAAAGAGCTTTCTTGTTTCCTTGGTTTATTAACCCTCCAAGGTTAATAATCTCCCCAAAAATATCTTTTTCTTAAGGGATACAACAGAGAAATCCAGTATACGGGAACTAAAACTACTGAGTCTCTTGTCCTTCCAGGTGATGTTATTTTTTGCAGTGCATAGGCTTGACCAGCCTGCCCTTGTGGAACTTAGCACCTAACTACCATCCATCACACTTATATTTCTGCAGGCTCACTGAACTCAAGATATGGCACAGCAGGGAATGACATCTCTGGAGACCAATTAAGATGCAGATTGTATGAAGTTACCCATGTCTCGGCCAGTTCAAGCTAATGGAGTCTGATGCATTGGTGGGTCTTGAGTCATACCAGGGCATCAGAGATGGCTAAGGAAAAATTTACCTTTTTATCAGTAGTCGGAAATAGCATCGATGAAAATTAATAATAGGACATTGCTCGTTTAATACATACGTATATCATATTCTAAAAAACTCCATTTTCCTTAAAACTTAAAATATAAATAAATATAAACCATATAAATTCACCTAATTAGATCATTCATGCAGCTCGGTGGGAGACGGCATTGGGGACCCAGCCAGTGAGGAGAGTATGGATGTATCGGAAACCAGCAACAGCAGTGGAACACTAGCCAACCAGTCGCCACTTTCAGACCACATCCCTAACAACATTTACACCTTTGAACCTGGCGTCCGTGACCCCCTAAGATTCCCCATGCAGGTAAAAAAATCACGTAGTTTTCAGCACTACTAGTGAGGTTCCTCATTTAGGTAGTAAAGATACCTACCCCAAACCAATACTGCCTTTCACCCAATTGTAGCATGCTCATACTATTAACTACTATCAACAGCTCACAATGTTATACTCCCATAATATAATTTGAATATTTACTACTGATATACAAAACCTACAAAATACATTCACCCTGTCCCAGTGTAACATCCCCAGATTGTAAATTGAGTAAACTTATTTTCTACTTTAAAAAAAAAGATGTGCAACTCAAACAAACTATGATTAATTCTTTAGTATTGAGTAGTCTGTAAGCCATTAAATTTAGTCTGCCCATAATGCCATGGCATGACGGTGGCTTTCTTTACACTGCAACTCATTATTGTAATCGCATAATATCAATGTTATCTTGCAAGGAAATAAAAATTGTATTGTATCTGCAACTCCTGAATTTTGAAATTAATATTTCATGATGATGGGGTTGTCTTCTGAAATAGTGGACCTGGTCTGATGATGCAGAAGACAACTGGACACTAACATATTAAGTAAACTCACAAAATGCTCTATATCCATGGAAAATTAGAGACTGAATGATTAGTGTATACATTAGTGAGCATAAACAATAAATTGGCCTGGTGGCAAAAGCTCTTGCTTCACACGGTGACGGTCCGGGTTCGATTCCCGGTGAAGGGGTGAAAACATCGGACGTGTTTCCTTACACCAGTTGTCTATGTTCACCCATCAGTAAATTGGGTACCTGGGTGTTAGTCGACTGGTGTGGGTCGCATCCTGGGACAAAACTGGCCTAATTTTCCTGAAATGCTCTGCATAATAAGGGGCTTTCTATGTAGTAGTATGTCATTGATGTCAGCTAGGCCTGTAGACCTTGTGCATGTACCTGTAGTAAATAAAAATAGTAATAATAGTGGGCTACAGCTCAGGGAACAACGAAAACAGACAGGTCCTGGACATGCCTGCTATGGTCTGGGTAAATGTTGGAATAAGAAGACTTGGCCCAATACTTTTGAGGACAACTGGGCACAATAGCTATGGACAAAATGTGGAATTGCAGATTTTTGTCCATTTTGTCCAATAATAAGACCATTTGTCCGATCAAATTTTTGTCTAAAACTGCTGAAATCCATTAATGAGAGGTCCAATAATGAGATGTTCCACATGTCTAATTCTTCTTGTCAACCAAATCTTTCAGTGGGCTGCAGAAAACAATATGAAGTTCAACGATGAGAAATTTCAATTACTCAGATATGGTAAACATGAGGAAATTAAATCTTCATCAGAGTACAAAACAAATTCTGGCCACAAAATAGAGCGAAACACCAACGTCAAAGACCTGGGAGTGATCATGTCGGAGGATCTCACCTTCAAGGACCATAACATTGTATCAATCGCATCTGCTAGAAAAATGACAGGATGGATAATGAGAACCTTCAAAACTAGGGAGGCCAAGCCCATGATGACACTCTTCAGGTCACTTGTTCTATCTAGGCTGGAATATTGCTGCACACTAACAGCACCTTTCAAGGCAGGTGAAATTGCCGACCTAGAAAATGTACAGAGAACTTTCACGGCGCGCATAACGGAGATAAAACACCTCAATTATTGGGAGCGCTTGAGGTTCCTAAACCTGTATTCCCTGGAACGCAGGAGGGAGAGATACATGATTATATACACCTGGAAAATCCTAGAGGGACTAGTACCGAACTTGCACACGAAAATCACTCACTACGAAAGCAAAAGACTTGGCAGACGATGCACCATCCCCCCAATGAAAAGCAGGGGTGTCACTAGCACGTTAAGAGACCATACAATAAGTGTCAGGGGCCCGAGACTGTTCAACTGCCTCCCAGCACACATAAGGGGGATTACCAACAGACCCCTGGCAGTCTTCAAGCTGGCACTGGACAAGCACCTAAAGTCAGTTCCGGATCAGCCGGGCTGTGGCTCGTATGTTGGTTTGCGTGCAGCCAGCAGCAACAGCCTGGTTGATCAGGCTCTGATCCACCAGGACGCCTGGTCTCAGACCGGGCCGCGGGGGCGTTGACCCCCGGAACTCTCTCCAGGTAAACTCCAGGTAAACTGTATACCATTCATGTACAGCTCTGGGAGGTTAAGGGTGAAAATCCTGAAGGTAACAAAGTAAGAATGTTTGAAAAAGGTGACTGGGAGGGTTAGATCGATGAGTCATGGAGGCAGATGAAATTGGTGGAAGGCTAGCCTTCAAACACCTATTACACAGCAGTAAAGGAGTGGAATCAGTTGCCTGATTATGTCAAAGCCAGTCTTAGTATAAAGCAGTTGAGGAAGAGAGCTAAAAGGTTCGTAATGGGTGAAGCTATAGTAAGAGAGTTAAGTGATTTCTTTTACAGTTAACTTTGGTGTAGATGTTATATTTAACTAAATTTTTTCACGTTAATGCTCGTGTAATTCATTTATTTTTATTACATTTTTTATTGTAATTCATTTCCATGCATTTCATTTACCCAGTTTGTTTTTACTGTTAATAATCATAACTGATTCTGGCTGCATCTAAAAGGCTAATATGTATTTAGGTATTATAAGAATCTCATTGGAAATAAGTCACATTGCTTGACTTTTTGTGGGTTATCCAAGGTAGTTTACACATATGAAGAAAAACTATTTGTGATCATCTGAAAAATATGTAATTGTACGTAGATAAACTTACAGGCAATTTCATGGTAGCATATTTTATAAATATTTCATTCCAATAAGTGTTTCACAAAATCTAATTTAAAAAAGCTCTTCACCATGCAAAAGGATGTCTGTAATACAAACTTGACTTATTTTTCTCAGCATTCTCATTAGCTCCTGCCCTTAGTCTGTTCGTTATCATTCTACTACTTCATTTTACTTAGATTTTTTTTGTATTTATTAAGTCTTTATTCTAATCATACAAGCTTTACTTATAGGTATATATACACCATTTTATCTTTCTCCTTGTCAGAACGGGCGACTTGTTGGTGCAGCTGTGGAGGGTGGGATTTTGCCTCCTGCAGGTATAGGAGGTGCTGCAGCAGCACTGGGTGCAGGTCATAAACCTTCACCTTTCAATCTTTCTCATCTTGAATATACTCTCCCAGATACCGAAATTTATGAACCTGAGACAGGTAACAGTATCCTAATGAACCCATGTTGCATAATCACCATACACTAGATATTCATTATGTCTAATGTCAATGTTAAGTTCATTGACCTCTGCATGCCTTTGATTTGATGTTTCATCCATCATTATATAACAAAAACATAGGATATTTCTGTCTCTTTTGGTTAGATGAGCAGATTCTGTCTGTAGAAATTGTGGGCGGTGTGTGGTGTAAATATTATGCAGAAAATTTGGAGTGTGGAAATTAGGAGAAGGTGTGGAGTTAATAAAAGTATTAGAGGGCTGAAGAGGGGTTGTTGAGGTGGTTTGGTCATTTAGAGAGAATGGATCAAAGTAGAATGACATGGAGAGCATTTAAATCTGTAGGGGAAGGAAGGTGGGGTAGGGGTCGTCCTCGAAAAGGTTGGAAGGAAGGGGTAAGGGAGGTTTTGTGGGCAAGGGGCTTGGACTTCCAGCAGGCGTGCATGAGCATGTTCGATAGGAGTGAATGGAGACGAATGGAATTTGGGACCTGACTAGCTGTTGGAGCGTGAGCAGGGTAATATTTAGTGAAGGGATTCAGAGAAACCAGTTATTTTTATGTAGCCGGACTTGAGTCCTGGAAATGGGAAGTACAATGCCTGCACTCTAAAGGTGGAGTTTCAGGATATTAGCAGTTTGGAGGGATATGTTGTGTATCTTTATACTTATATGCTTCTAAACTGTTGTGTTCTGAGCACACAGTGTTGAATGATGCTGAAAGTATTTTCTTTTTAGGATTTTCTTTCTTTTTGGGTCACCCTACCTAGGTGGGAGATGGCCGACTTGTTAAAAAAAAAAGAAAAAGAAAAAAAAAAGAGTAGATTATTATCGTTACATTCTTGATGGGAGCATTACACCCATAGGGGTCATATAACACTTGGGATAGGGAGGCTACAGTCTAATTCCCTTGATAAAGAGCCCTTCAGTGGCAAAAGGAACCTTTATTGAGAGGAACATTAGAGAGTAGACCTACTGTTAAGAGTGCAAATGGTCCATTAGAAGAATTTCTTTATCCATTCTGCTGTTCTGATATTGTTCTGTTGTTCCATCAGTTGACTTTCCAAACTCCCCTACTGCCCTACGATACATGGTGCATCCTGATGATGACTGTACTGGTGTGCGTTTGGCAGAGAGAGAGGAAACCACACAACCACCTGTTACACCCACAGAAGAGGATCGATCAGTATACACTGCTGTGGTTTCTCCGCCCACTGGTCAGGTTACTCTCAGGAAAGGCAAGTTAAAAAGACCAGAGATAATTGCAATGCTTTCACAGTTTTGCAACTGATACATTTGTGCAGACTAGAAGCTTTTCATGGGAGCCCAAGTTTTACAGTATTCAAAATGGGTCTTTATTTTCAATAGCTTTATTTAAAGATAGCTCCATGATGATAAATTTTAGGCTTGTGGTTCCAAATTTTTTCAAGCCATATTTGTTTTTCTTTGTATCTGCATCATTTTTCACTCATACCTAATTACATCTTATTTCTCCAATTTTTTTTTTCATAGTTTAATTACGTTGCATCTTTTCTCATTTCTTCACAGAACGTCCCTCCAGTCTTGAAGTAAATCGTAAAAAACGTCTTACAGTGACTGAGGAATTGTTAACAGTGGCTGTTGATGATGACCAACATTCCATATCTTCTCTCAGTCAACACAGTGATGATGATGATGATGATGCTCAGATGCTCTCTCATGATGAGTTTACAGACATGCTTACACCCGATGACATTGATACTCCCGATGAGTTGGAAGAGTCCATCATGGAAAGTGAGTCAGTTCTCGGCACCAAGTCTTTGAAGTCGTATGAAGGCTACGGTAAAATTCAGTAATTTTTTGTTTTTTTTTTTGTCACTTGATGGAAAGATTTTGCCTTCTACCAATGTCTACAGTGGATTTTGTTTCAGTATTGTCCAGCCCATCCTCATCTCATAAGAATGTATTTCACCAATATGTTTAAAACCATGCTCACAGCCCTTGTTAGTACAAATATGTTGTGGGCCTGCAAATATGTTCAATAAAATAGGCAAGCAAAATCAGTAACATGGTATTTGTATGGCACATATTTGGGGAAAATGTTATTTGTAGGACTGAAAACAAGTCTGTTTAGACAGTCAATAAATAACATTTAACATGAAAATTGACTACATAATATCAGATTGACACGTGTCTGCTGACCTGGCAGCTATGAATTGCTGAATTCTATCATAGTTTTAATGTAAAAAGTTATATTACATTAGTTTTTATTATAAAAAATTAACTTTGTTCATTCTTAAATAAAATCTATGCACATATTGTTGGCATTTCTTCAGTGTTGAAATGTAACTGAACAATTAATCTGAATGTTAATAATGACAATAATAATAGTGGAATGACTGAATTAGCAAGTAAGGAGGTGAGTACATTCTTATTTTCTTTATTACCAGTTTTGTTATCACTACCAACAACAATAACAAACTGCAATACCTGACTGGTCTTCTTACATACTTGTATGGAGTATATAGTATTCAGTGGTGGTGGGAGGTCCATTTCCCATTTAGCTACTTATCCTATTGTACCCTGATGAAGAACTCCCTTATGCCTTTATATTTGTCTCATCTGTTTGCTACCCATCTGCTCTAAGTTTCCCTTTCCTTGCATCTGTGCAGTCATTGACTATGAGGATCAGTGGCTGCTAGCTACTAGTACTGGCTCTTCCATGATGGGTTCCTTTTGCACCCTTCCTGACAGTGACCAATACTGTTATCTTTATGATACTCTCACTGTTACTGTTATATTCTTACCTCTTTTCCCCTGCAGGCAGTGTTGATTTGTATAGTATGGTATCCCCATCCCCCTTGTCCTCTCCCACTGATTTAACTAATGGCTTATATATTTTTGAAGTTATGCCTGTTGGTTTAGTACAAGTAATTGATTGGAAATTAAAAATAAGTTACAATATAATTTACAGGGTATTCATTAAAATTTGACAAGTGTAATATAGCTGGTTGGAAAAGGCTGAATAGTGCATTGTGAGTTAATGAGGCATTAGTTACACTTAGGCATTGTTCACTAAATTGCTAAAAGGCATAGTACGTGAAGAGAAAAAGAGAAGCAGAATGAATAGTGAGGGAGTACAAAAGGAGAGTAAACAACAAATGGGTCTGTCAGCAAATTTTAATGAGAATACAATACAAAACATTGGATTTGAATGTTAAAAACAAAAGAAGGGTGATGTTAGCTTGTTTGCAGGGGAGGGCACTGGATAGATAGAATATTTTGAGGAGTTGTTAAATGTTGCTAATTGAAGGGAAGCATAAATATCATCCATTGGGCAAGGAGGAATAATGTTAAGTAGGAGTAAGGAACACTCAGGTGAATGTGGGAGAAGTGTGTGAGGCAGGGTGTAGAATGAAAGGGGGTAAAATAGCTGGGACAAATGGGATTAAGATCGAGATGCTTAAAGCTGGTGATGATAGTTTTATAATGGTTGCGTGAAAAAAGGGAAACTACCTAAGGAATGGCAGAGATCATGCATAGTTCCTTTGTGTAAGGGGTAAAAAAGGGACAAGAGAATGTAAGAAACTTTGCAAAATACTCCTGTTGAGCATATGTACTTTGTACAGTGTACAAGTAGAATTATTGAGAGTTAAGTATAAGACAAAGTAAGATTGTATAGGAACAAGGAGAGTTTAGAGAGGATTGGGAATAGTACCCGAGCTTATGTATGTGTTTGTCAGTCTTTTAATAACATCATTAACTTTTTCATTTATATCATGCTCTGGAGAATAAGTTCATACAGTACCAAATTTTACAGTTTTCCTTTTCTGTTTTCCAGCTTTTTATATGATGTTCCCTGCCATGTACTGATCTCATTTGCTGTTTGTTTCAGGACTTGGACCTCAACCTAGGATAGACCCATTACCTGAATACACAGTGACGCAGGAAACCACTGAAGAGAGATCATGGAGGTCTGTTGTCATCTCTGGAATTGAGAGACGAATTGATATGAAAGTTAGTGTCAAAATTTGGTACTTAATGAGTGGTTATAAATGGCATGCTAAACAATTATATATATTGATTTTTTTTAGTAAAAAATAAGGATATGATTTTTTTGAAGTATGGAATATGAATATGGTTGTTTAATATATTTATAGATGGGGTTGTAAAAGAAGTAAATGCTAGGGTGTTGGGGAGAGGGGTGGGATTAAATTATGAGGAGTCAAATACAAAATGGGAATTGACAGTTACATTTTGTTAATGATACTGTGCTTATGGGAGATTCTAAAGAAAAATTGCAAAGGTTAGTGGACGAGTTTGGGAGTGTGTGTAAAGGTAGAAAGTTGAAAGTGAAGATAGAAAAGAGTAAGGTGATGAGGGTATCAAATGATTTAGATAAAGAAAAATTGGATATCAAATTGGGGAGGAGGAGTATAGAAGAAGTGAATGTTTTCAGATATTTGGGAGTTGACATGTCAGCGGATGGATTTACGAAGGATGAGGTTAATCGTAGAATTGATGAAGGAAAAAAGGCGAGTTGTGCATTGAGGTATATGTGGAGACAAAAAATGTTATCTATGGAGGCAAAGAAGGGAATGTATGAAAGTATAGTGGTACAAACACTTATATGGGTGTGAAGCTTGGGTTGTAAATGCTGCAGCGAGGAGGCAGTTGGAGGCAGTGGAGATATCCTGTCTAAGGGCAATATGTGGTGTAAATATTATGCAGAAAATTCGGAGTGTGGAAATTAGGAGAAGGTGTGGAGTTAATAAAAGTATTAGTCAGAGGGCTGAAGAGGGGTTGTTGAGGTGGTTTGGTCATTTAGAGAGAATGGATCAAAGTAGAATGATATGGAGAGTGTATAAATCTGTAGGGGAAGGAAGGTGGGGTAGGGGTCGTCCTCAAAAAGGTTGGAGGAAGGGGGTAAAGGAGGTTTTGTGGGTGAGGGGCTTGGACTTCCAGCAAGCGTGCGTGAGCGTGTTAGATAGGAGTGAATGGAGACGGATGGTATTTGGGACCTGACGAGCTGTTGGAGTGTGAGCAGGGTAATATTTAGTGAAGGGATTCAGGGAAACCGGTTATTTTTATATAGCCAGACTTGATTCCTGGAAATGGGAAGTACAATGCCTGCACTTTAAAGGAGGGGTTTGGGATATTGGCAGTTTGGAGGGATATGTTGTGTATCTTTATACATATATGCTTCTAAACTGTTGTATTCTGAGCACCTCTGCAAAAACAGTAATTATGTGTGAGTGAGGTGAAAGTGTTGAATGATGATGAAAGTATTTTCTTTTTGGAGATTTTCTCTCTTTTTGGGTCACCCTGCCTCGGTGGGAGACGGCCGACTTGTTAAAAAAAAAAAAGTATGTAAATATATTTTAAAAGGTATTCATTTTGTGTAGATATTTTTATTCTTTATTTACAGATAACATGTATCTGTAATTCTGCTGCCCGACCTGGTCACAGACCGGGCTGCAGGGGCATTGATCCCCAAAACCATCTCCAGGTATAATCCAGGTATACAAAAGCACAGTAAAAATGGGTTATACAAAAACAAAATAAATTAAGCAAAAGGTATCATGGTTAACTGATATAAGCAAGACAAACACGAAGCAGTGAATATGAAGTACAGTGATGAAACCAAGATTATGTGATGTCCTCCAGCCCAGTATGCTCCTGCTTTATCTACTCTTTCCTCTCAGATCTACTTGGAGTTCATTACCTTTGTAACTTGTTCAGCTATCAAAACTTTGGGGCCCAGTCCCTGGACCCATTATGTACCTTTGTAATCTTTTGACTACCACCCACAGGATGGGTATGGAGTGCATAATAAAGATATTAAATTAACTAAACTTTCCTCTTAGGGAGGAAGCATTCATAATGCTGTCCTTTATCTAATGTGCTCCTCAAGGAAGGTGTCTTGATGCAGGTGCAGGGTTCTTGATTCAAGGAACTAGACTTATCCTCTTCTTCCTTGGATCAAACCTGAATGCCTCCCATTTTCCAAGTGCTATATGATCTCTATGGGTTCATTGTTTACCCCTGATGAAAATGAATAGAGAAATCAGTCTGCTGCAGCAATTCACCTAAAATGGTGTCATCCATGGCTGTGGCAGTTCCTGAGACACTTGAAAGCCCTAGATATAAGCAGATAATGTTGTTGGCAGAGTGAAGACTGACCACCACCATTCAGCCTGACTGTGTATAAGAGGAACCTGCATGACTGCCTTAGGGACAGCATTGGTCTTCATAAGGGGCAGTTCCAAGAGGGAGCAGCTGTAAGTTAAGATTCTCCCAAAACTTCCATCAGTCCCCAAATAATAATAATATTGTTTCAAGTCCCCGCCTCCTCTTTGCATTAGATTGCCAGCCCAAAGCTTCTCTTATATAAAACTTATGGAGCTGCCACTGGTCTGCAGACTGTCTTTTGTGTTGAATGATCCTTTTGGCCACCCAAGCCACTGTCTCTGCCAACCCATTAAACTGAGAATAGTGAGTAAATGACAGGCTGATTGTGACTCCTCACTCCTTGAAAAAATCATACATTTCATTGGTGGTAAGGCTGGTGCTAATGCTCTTACTGCTGCTTCTTGGTATCATTTGGTGGAAGATCATCATCTTTCAACAAACCGGCCATTTCCCACGGAGGCAGGGTGGCACAAAAGGAAAAACGAAAATTTCTCCTTTTAAATTTAGTAATAGATACAGAAGGGGTTACTAGCCCCTTGTTCCCAGCATTTTAGTCGCCTCTTATGACAAGCGTGGCTTACAGAGGAAGAATTCTGTTCCACTTTCCTGTGAAGATAAGAGGAAATAAACAAGAACAAGAACTAACAGGAAAATAGAAGAAAACCGAGAGGGGTGTGTATATATATGCTTGTATGGCCGACTTGTTGAAAAAAAAAAAAAAAAAAAAAAATATATATATATTTTTAGTATTTTCTTTTTGGGGATTTTCTTTCTTTTTTGGGTCACCCTGCCTCGGTGGGAGACGGCCGACTTGTTGAAAAAAAAAAAAAAAAAAAAACATGCATGTGTAGTGTGACCCAAATGTAAGTAGAAGTAGCAAGATGTACCTGAAACCTTGCATGCTAATGAAACAGAAAAAAGACACCAGCAATTCTACCACCATGTACAACAATTACAGGCTTCCATTTTACACTCACTTGCCAGGACAGTAGTACCTCTCTGGGTGGTTGCGGTCTACCAACCTGCTACCTAGGGTAATGTAGTTTATATGTAATAAAACATTGGTATGCACAAAAGAAGCCACTCTTATGCAATGCATTTTGGGCACACTAATCTTAATGCTTAAAGACTACTTAATATTTAGACATGACATTGACACGACTTTTAATTTCAGGGGCCCTGACAGTGAAAGGCTTAAACCTAATTATCCAAGCAGTAACAACATAAATACCATGTAACTGGGTACATTTAATTTTACAGGTAATTGAGCCATATAAGAAGGTTCTAAGTCATGGAGGTTACCTTCTTGGAAGCAATGAAGCTGTCATAGTGTTTTCTGCATGCTTCTTGCCAGACAGATCACGCAAAGATTATGATTATGTTATGGACAATCTTTTCATGTGAGTAATTTGAGAATTTTGTTAAGGTAAGAGTAAACTTATTGAATCAGTATTACTACAGTTGGTGGGTTAACCCAAACTTATGTAAACCTTTGGATATAAAACCTGTAATTTGACTACCTATTTATCCTATAAGAATGCCACTGTTTCAATTCATTTCCTTATCCTTCTTCCAAATTGTATTACTATATACATTTTTTGAACACAGCTGTTTCATCAAGGTTGGGTGACTCAAAGAATGAAGCACATTCACCATTATTTATTCTACAGTTGTCTTACCAGAAGTGTGTGAGCATCTCATTTTAAATGAACCTTTGAACTGCAGCATCAGCCATCTATATACCTCTGTTTCAATTTTTCTGTCATCCTCATCATGTTTTTTCTGGTACTGGTACATACAAACCCTACTGTTAATCACATAATTTTTTTTTTTTAGTACACCAACCATTTCCCACCAAAGTAAGAAGTAAGTGGTTTGTTAACAAAGAATTTTTAAGTGATTAACAATACTGTAGTTTATATGTGGTATAGTACCAAATATGAGCTATGTGATGAGGATGACCAAAAAAATTGACTTGAATGTATTAGACAGAAGTAAGCATCCAGGTGCTCTTGCTTTTAAGTGGTCACTGGAATTCACCTAGGTCAAATCAGGCATTACAGTAACTATGAAACAACAACTGAAATAACACATTTAAGTTATAACATGGTAAAACTCCTATTAGTAAAAGCAAAAATCATTAGACTTATTCACTTTACTTCAAAACTATCCAAGGACTTCCTAGGAAGGGTAGTGTGAGCAGCGGTAGGTAGAATGGGGCATAACGAGTATTACAAGTGTACATGTTAACAAAAGGGTGTGTTTGTAAAAAAAATTCTAGAAATTTTATTTTGCATATTTTAACCTCTCGGACGTGCATTGTATATTTGTATTAAAGCACGTACATAGATTGTCTGTCATACACAATAACGTAGTGGTATGTAACATAGTAATAACAATAACAAATTTATTTTAGCATGATACGTGTTTGTACAAAGCAGTGTATCAATTTGGTGAACATGCCAAAAGCCCCTTTATATGCAGAGCATTTTGGGCAAGCTTAAGACTAACGTAAGATTAATAAGGCAATAACAGTACTGTAATTTTACATATGGTCATTAGGTGAGTTACAGTGAATAGAAGAAAATTGAATATTCAGCTAGTTCACACTATGTGGCTTTAGTAAGTTCGGCAGAGAATAATTACAGTTTTGATGTAGTATTAAAAAATACAGTATTACAATTTAGCATAATTTAAAACAATTAAGTTGAAAATTTTTTAAGTTTTCCTGTAATTGTTTTACATGATGGTAGGATTGCTGGTGTCCTTTTTTCTGTCTCATAAACATGCAAGATTTCAGGTACGTCTTGCTACTTCTACTTACACTTAGGTCACACTACACATACATGAACAAGCATATATATACACACCCCTCTGGGTTTTCTGCTATTTTCTTTCTAGTTCTTGTTCTTGTTTATTTCCTCTTATCTCCATGGGGAAGTGAAACAGAATTCTTCCTCCGTAAGCCATGTGTGTTGTAAGAGGCGACTAAAATGCCGGGAGCACGGGGCTAGTAACCCCTTCTCCTGTATATATTACTAAATGTAAGAGGAGAAACTTTCTTTTTTCCTTTTGGGCCATCCTGCATTGTTGGGATATGGCCAGTGTGTTGAAAGAAAAGAAAGAAATTTTAAGTTTAAAGTAATGATTAAATAGTTGAGCAATCATCAAGCACAATTTAGAATATGAAGTACAGTGGACCCCCGGTTTACGATATTATTTCATTCCAGAAGTATGTTCAGGTGCCAGTACTGAATGAATTTGTTCCCATAAGGAATATTGTGAAGTAGATTAGTCCATTTCAGACCCCCAAACATACACGTACAAATGCACTTACATAAATACACTTACATAATTGGTCGCATTGGGAGCTGATCGTAAAGCGGGGGTCCACTGTACGTATTACAATTTAGCACAATTTAAAACAATAAAATTGAAACAATTGCAAGTTTGAAATAGTGAGCAAATAGGTAGCAGCCATCAAGCACAATATACAGTAATGAAACTGAAACAATTTTAAGTTTGAAGTAAATGATCAAATAGTTGAGCAGTCATAAATTATTTAGGAGTGTTTTGGTAACTTTTGGGTAACTGGTAGATGTTAAGTAAAGTGTTTGTCTGGTTAATTTTGGGTGATGAGGTGATTTCTAAGTAGGGCTTTAAATTGATTTGTATGCAGGGGCCCTTTAGTGTGTTCTGGCATTGAATTCCAGATCTTCAGGCCCTTTATGTGCATAGCATATTTGCATAGGGAGAGATGGACACGAGGGATATCGAAGAGTGATTTGTTCCTTGTATTATGACACAGTTACTTTTTGCTGATGATACTGTGCTTATGGGTGATTCTAAAGAAAAGTTGCAAAGGTTAGTGGACGAGTTTGGGAGGGTGTGTAAAGGAAGTTATTTTTATATAACCAGACTTCAGTACTGGAAATGGGAAGTACAATGCCTGCACTTTAAAAGAGGGGTTTGGGATATTGGTAGTTTGGAGGGATGTGTCATATATCTTTATATGTGCTTCTAACCTAGGTAGTAGATTGGTAGACAGCAACCGCCCAGGGAGGTACTACCGTCCTGCCAAATGAGTGTAAAACGAAAGCCTGTAATTGTTTTACATGATGGTAGGATTGCTGGTGTCCTTTTTTCTGTCTCATGAACATGCAAGATTTCAGGTACGTCTTGCTACTTCTACTTACACTTAGGTCACACTACACATACGGGCGCCTGGCAAACCTGCGGATAGCGTTCCGATACCTCAGTAAGGATTCGTTCAAGACTCTGTATACCATTTACGTCAGGCCCATACTGGAGTATGCAGCACCAGTTTGGAATCCACACCTAGTCAAGCACGTCAAGAAATTAGAGAAAGTGCAAAGGTTTGCAACAAGACTAGTCCCAGAGCTACGGGGATTGTCCTACGAAGAAAGGTTGAGGGAAATCGGCCTGACGACACTGGAGGACAGGAGAGTCAGGGGAGACATGATAATGACGTATAAAATACTGCGCGGAATAGACAAGGTGGACAAAGACGGGATGTTCCAGAGATGTGACACAGACACAAGAGGTCACAATTGGAAGTTGAAGACTCGGATGAATCAAAGGGATGTTAGGAAGTATTTCTTCAGTCACAGAGTAGTTAGGTCGTGGAATAGCCTAGAAAGTGACGTAGTGGAGGCGGGAACCATACATAGTTTTAAGGCGAAGTATGATAAAGCTCATGGGGCAGGGAGAGAGAGGACCTAGTAGCAATCAGCGAAGAGGCGGGGCCAGGAGCTATGACTCGACCCCTGCAACCACAAATAGGTGAGTACATACATGTACAAGCATATATATACACACTCCTCTGGGTTTTCTTCTATTTTCTTTCTAGTTCTTAGTCTTGTTTATTTCCTCTTATCTCCATGGGGAAGTGGAACAGAATTCTTCCTCTGTAAGCCATGCGTGTTGTAAGAGTCGACTAAGATGTCGGGAGCAATGGGTTAGTAATCCCTTCTCCTGTATAGATTACTAAATTTAAAAAGAGAAACTTTTGTTTTTCTTCGTGGGCCACCCTGCCTCGGTGGGATACGGCCGGTTTGTTGAAAAAAAATGCTTCTAAACTGTTGTATCTGGGTGTGTCTGCAAAAACAGTGATTGTGTGAGTGAGGTGAAAGTGTTGAATGATGATGAAAGTATTTTCATTTCGGGGATTTTCTTTCTTTTTGGGTCACCCTGACTTGGTGGGAGATGGCCAATTTATTGAAAAGAAAAAAATTATGCCTGTGTGTTCTGTTGTAGTTATCAAGGAGGAGTTTGAGACGGTTAATATTTGAATATAATGTTTTGTGTGTGTGGTAGGCACAATAATAAGTGTGGATGTTTTGTATGCAGTGGTCCCTCGTTTATCGTCGTTAATCCGTTCCTGGAAGTGCGATGATTATCGAAAAAGATGATTTTCGAATCAATTTTCCCCATAAGAAATAATGTAAATACAATTATTCCGTTCCTGATACCCAGAAGTATTAAAACAAAAAATTTTTTTACATGAAATATAGATGTAGTACATAAACAATACAATGGGACATGATGAATGAAACAGTAACAGCATAACACTTACCTTTATTGGCGATTCTTCTTAGTGTATGGAAGACTGGAGGAGGAGAGAGATTGGATTAGTTACTGTTTGGAAGGGGAATCCCCTTCCATCAACACCTTAGGTACCAAATCCTTTTCTGGGGTTACTTCTTTTCTCTGTTTCTTAATGCCACTAGGACCAGCTTGAGAGTCAATGGAATCCTGTCTCGCAAAAAAAGTGTCCAGAGAGTTCTGTTTCTGGTGTCTCTTTAAAATTTCCCTAAAATGGGCCAAGACTCGGCCACTGTACAAGTTGCCAATATGGCTTGCAACATCCTTCTCAGGGTGATGTTTCTTCATAAATCTTTCCATCCTAACCCCACACTTCAAAAATCTCCTTAATTTCTGAAGAAGGCACCTTCCTCCATCTCTCTTCCTCCTCCTCTGCAGCAAGATTCAGAGCTGCGATCTGTTGCTGTTCCTGCTGAAGCTCTTGCAGCTCCTCATTGGTTAGCTCTTCGTTGTGGTCCTTCACCAACTCTTCCACATCCTCCAAACTCACATCCAACCCCATGGAACTCCCCAATGCCACAATAGAGTTCACAACTGACATTGGCTCATCAGGGTCAGCCACAAACCCTTCAAAATCCCTCTTGTGGACACAATCTGGCCACAGTTTTCTCAAATCAGAGTTCAAAGTCCTGGTAGTCACTCCCTCCCAAGCCTTACCTATAAGGCTTATGCAATGGAGGATACTGAAGTGTTCTTTCCAAAACTCTCTTAGGGTCAAGTGAGTGTCTGAGGCCACATTAAAGCACCTTTGAAACATTCCTTTGGTGTAGAGTTTTTTAAAGTTTGAAATGACCTGCTGGTCCGTGGGCTGGAGGAGAGGAGTGGTATTCGGGGGCAAGAACTTTACTGTGATGAACCCAAACTCCTTCAGAATTAGGTCATCCAAGTTTGGAGGATGAGCAGGTGCATTGTCTATTACTAGGAGGCACTTGAGATCCAATTTCTTTTCCAGGAGGTAATTCTTCACACTAGCGCCAAACACTTCATTGAACCACTCGACGAAAATATCCCTTGTGACCCATGCCTTATTATTAGATCTCCAAAACACACAAAATTTACTCTTCATAACATTTTTTTTTTTTTGAACACTGGGATTTTCAGAATGGTACACTAGTAACGGCTTCACTTTGAAATCCCCACTAGCATTAGCACAGAACATGAACGTCAGCCTGTCTTTCATAGGCTTGTGTCCTGGCAGTGGTTTTTTCCCCTGAGTAATGTAGGTCCTCTTTGGCATTTTCTTCCAAAAGAGGCCTGTTTCGTCACAATTGAACACTTGTTCAGGTTTCATTCCTTCAGCCTCTATGTACTCCTTGAATTCACTTATGAATTTTGTAGCTGCAATTTTGTCCAAACTGGCAGCCTCACCATGTCTTATCACACTGTGTATGCCACTATGGTTCTTAAATCTCTTAAACCAACCTTTGCTGGCCTTAAATTCACAAATATTACCAGATCGTCATGCAACTGCCTAGCCTTTTCACAAATAATCGACATCATAAGACTATCTCCTGCTAATTGATTCTCGTTTATCCACACCAATAATAACTTCTCAACCTCTTCGAGTACTGGTGATCTCATTTTTGTCAGCATATTTACCCCCTTTGCAACAACAGCTTCCTTGATTTCCTTTTTCTTGGCCATGATGGAAGATATGGTTGTACGGGATTTGTTATACATCCTGGCCAGTTCGGCCAAACGTACGCCACTTTCATATTGTTCAGTGATGTTTTTCTTAAATTCAATCGTATTTCTCAACTTCTTTACCAAAGGCTTGGCACTAGGAGCTTTCTTTGGAGCCATGGTAGCTTACTTAGCACTTGCAAGCACTAAATTGAATGGAATATTATGAAATACTATTTCGTATGAACACATGAGGGGACCGTTGCTCACTGGTAAACAATAGCACACTGGCTGGGAAGAGAGGCCGATGCGGCTCAGAGCCATGAGTACGCGTCCAGGACGAATGACGATTAGCGAGTCAACCAACCATTTGTGAGCCAATGTTTGGACTAAAATAATGCAACGATTTCCAAAAAGGATGACTATCGAGGCCGACTATTATCAAGGGGCCACTGTATTAAGCAAGTTAAGACGTAAAAAGCAGTGCAGTATACTGTCTTGTGTAGGAGTTGGTAATCAATCGCACTGCAGCTTTTTGTTGGGTTATTTAAGGTTTAAGGTGGTTTACTGTGGTTGAGCCCCATGTACAAATACCATAGGTGTGGTAAGGGTAAATGAGAGAGTGGTAAAGAGCAAGAAGAGCCGTTTGAGGTACATAGTACCGTATCTTTGATTGATGCCTACTGTTTTGGAGACTTTCTTGGATATTTGCTGTATGTGGGTCTGAAATTTCAGACTGCAGTTAAGGTGGAGACCTAGAAATTTGCCCTCTATGTGTCTTGGAATGGGTGAACCATTTATCAGTATGTTTAGCTGTACAGTTGAAGCTCTGTTTCCAAATAGCATGAAGTAGGTTTTGTCTATATTGAAAGTAAGTTTGTTGGTAGTCATCCAACTAGATATTTTTAATAGTTCGTAATTTACAGTAAGGGTAAGGCAACTGGGATTGATGGGATAAAGATAGAAATGTTAAAAGCAGGTGGGGATATAGTTTTGGAGTGGTTGGTGCTATTATTTAATAAATGTATGGAAGAGGGTAAGGTACCTAGGGATTGGCAGAGAGCATGCACAGTTCCTTTGTATAAAGGCAAAGGGGATAAAAGAGAGTGTAAAATCTAGAGGGGAATAAGTCTATTGAGTATACCTAGTAAAGTGTATGGTAGAGTTATTATTGAAAGAATTAAGAGTAAGACGGAGAATAGGATAGCAGATGAACAAGAAGGCTTTAGGAAAGGTAGGGGGTGTGTACACGAAGCGTTTACAGTGAAACATATAGGTGAACAGTATTTAGATAAGGGTAAAGAGGTTTTTGTGGTATTTATGGATTTGGAAAGGGCATATGATAGGGTGGATAGGGGGGGCAATGTGGCAGATGTTGCAGGTGTATGTTATAGGAGGTAGGTTACTGAAAGCAGTGAAGAGTTTTTATGAGGATAGTGAGGCTCAGGTTAGAGTATGTAGGAGAGAGGGAGATTATTTCCCAGTAAAGGTAGGCCTTAGACAAGGATGTGTGATGTCACCGTGGTTGTAAGAGAAGTGAATGCGAGGGTCTTGGCAAGAGGTGTGGAGTTAAAAGATAAAGAATAAAACACAAAGTGGGAGTTGTCACAGTTGCTCTTTGCTGATGACACTCTGCTTTTGGGAGAAGCTACAGAGATTGGTGGATGAATTTGGTAGGGTATGTAAAAGAAAATTAAAAGTGAATATAGGAAAGAGTAAGGTTATGAGGATAAAAAGATTAGGTAACAGAAGATTGGATATCAGATTGGAGGAAGAGAGTATAGAGGAGGTGAATGTATTCAGATATTTAGGAGTGGACGTATCAGCAGATGGGTCTATGAAGGATGAGTTGAATCATAGAATTGATGAGGGGAAAAGGGTGAGTGGTGTACTTAGGAGTCTCTGGAGACAAAGAACTTTGCCCGTGGAAGCAAAGAGGGGAATGTATGAGAGTATAGTTGTACCAACACTCTTGTATGGGTGTGAAGCATGGGTGATGAATGTTGCAACAAGGAGAAGGCTGGAGGCAGTGGAGATGTCATGTCTGAGGGCAATACACAAATAACCCGCACATAAAAGAGAGAAGCTTACGACGACGTTTCGGTCCGACTTGGACCATTGACAAAGTCACATAGTGTGACTTTGTCAATGGTCCAAGTCGGACCGAAATTTCGTCGTAAGCTTCTCTCTTTTATGTGCGGGTTATTTGTGTATCGTTCCAGTCACGGTATTGTGCCTTTTTTGTTATCTGAGGGCAATGTGTGGTGTGAATATAATGCAGAGAATTCATACTTTTGGAAATCAGGAGGTGTGGGATTACCAAAACTATTATCCAGAGGGCTGAGGAGGGGTTGTTGAAGTGGTTCAGGCATGTAGAGAGAATGGAACAACACAGAATGACTTCGAGAGTGTATAAATCTGTAGTGGAGGGATGGCGGGGTAGGGGTCGGCCTAGGAAAGGTTTGAGGGAGGGATTGAAGGAGGTTTTGTGTGCGATAGGCTTGGACTTCCAGCAAGCGTTTGTGAGCGTATGTGATAGGAGTGAATGGAGACAAGTGGGTTTAAATACTTGATGTACTGTTGGAGTGTGAGCAGGGTAACCTTTATGAAGGGATTCAGGGAAACCAGCAGGCTGGACTTGAGTCCTGGAGATGGGAAGTAAGTGTCTACACTCTGAAGGAGGGGTGTTAATGTTGGAATTTTTTTAACTGTAGTGTAAAGCACCCCTCTGGTAAGACAGTGATGGAGTGAATGATGATTAAAGTTTTTCTTTTTTGGACCACCCTGCCTTAGTGGGAATCGACCGATGTGTTAATAAAAAAAAAAATACAGTGTCTGTTAATATAGTAATACATTAGTGTACATTAGTTCAAGAATATGTATAATTGCATTGTTAGTACTTTTTTCGGTGTAAATCCAAACTTACAGGGGCTAAGAATGTTGTGAAATACTAAGTAGGAGTAGACTTGTTTGTGAATTAATTTTTCAAAGATTTTAGATAGTAGTGGCAAGTTTGATATAGGCCTATGGTAAGTTATCCTGGGAGAGACATCCTATTGTGGCAACTCATCCCTTAGTCTAAGCAGTGTCATCATGCAAAAGTGATACTGATGAATTATAAAATCTAAGTTATGCAAACATGATCTGGTTCTGGTTTCGACAAAAACTTGTAGTATTGGTAGTTCAGAATATAAGTTCAATCTGTATGATACTTAATGTTCTTCCATTTCTTATGTTCTGTTATTTTATACACATATGAAGTTAATATAAAAAAAAAACACAGGCAGGGTATGTTACAGGAAGTGTATGTTTAATAGTTTATGTAAGTAACTGAAATAAATAATGGAGGATTATTGCAGTGAATGTTGCAACCTTTGCTGATTAGTCATTTACAGTCAAATGATCTGAGAGTCAACTTCTGTGCCAGTGGCATCAGATCTTTGCACAATAGAATACGTATTGCTATCTGTGTATATTACGTAGTTGCAAATTTATTTTGTTAATGTTTTTACCTGCTCTGTCAATATTTTTTATTAAAACATGAAAAAATCACACTACAGTGGTACCTCGGGATACGAAATTAATTCGTTTCAGAAGGCTGTTTGAGTGCTGATACCAAACGAATTTGTTCCCATAAGGAATAATGTAAATTAGATTAATCCGTTTGAGACCCTCAAAAATACACTTACAAAAGCACTTACATAAATATGCTTACATAATTGTTCGAGTTTTGAGTTGTTCGTTTCCCAAGGTACCAGTGTATTTACACATCCTAGCTGTAATACTTTTCTTTAAAAATATAGGATGAAAAATTTAAATTTTTTTCAAATTAACTTGAATACAGGTACATATATTACTGTAATTAATAAATAAAATTACATTACAGTGAAAATATTTTCTTAATGGAACAGGTATGTATTGACAACTCTAGATCAACTGATAGCTGAAGATTATGTTCTGATCTACCTACATGGTGCCACAACCCGAGGGAACATGCCATCATTCGCCTGGCTTAAAGTAAGTACTTTGTTTTTTTATATTTCAAACCACTGATCTGGATAACCCTTGTGGGTTTGGGACTTAGTTATAATTATAATAATCAAACTAGTGAAAGCAAAATATCTTTTGCATAGTGTTGATCCTAAACCTTTCCTCACACTCTTGCTTTCAGTTTGAAGTAAGTGTGTATTGTTTTATTTGTGTAATACTGTAGCTAAATTAGAATTTTGATGGAGAACATGAAATATTCAGTATCCCATGGCCTGGTAGGCAATGTTCTTACTTCACACCACTTGGCAAAGGGTGGAAATATTGGGCATGCTTCCTTACACCTGTTGTCCCTGTTCACCTAGCAAGCAAGTAGGTACCTGGGTGTTAATGGACTGGTGTGGGTCACATCCTGGGGGTAGAAGAGTTAAGGACCCAAATGGAAATAAGACAGACAGTAATTGATGTCACACTGACTTATTTGGGTTATCCTGGGTGGCTAACCCTCCAGGGTTGAAAATCCAAACAAAATCTTATCTTATCAAAGTTACTAGTTGAAATAAGAATGTATAAATGAGATAAACATTGCCTCATCATTTAACCCTTTCAGGGTCCGTCCCGTAGATCTACGGCTTTACGTTCAGGGTCCAAACCGTAGATCTACGTCATGAGCTCAGCTCACTCTGATAAACTGTGAGTGGTACATTTGGGCCTAGATATGAGAGAATACATCTATGTGGTATGTGTGCACCACATAAAACAAATCCTGCAGCACACTGTGTATAATGAGAGAAAAAAAACTGAAATCATGATTTTTCGATTAAAACAGCAACTTTGCAGTGTTTTTTCGTATGTTTTTTATAGTTGTATTTGCGATTTCTTGGTCTCATTTGATAGAATGGAAGACATATTACAGAAATAGAGATGATTTTGATTGGTTTTAGCATTGGAAATGGCTTGAAACTGAGCTCAAAGTAGCGGAAATGTTAAATTTTTGCCGATATTCAAGAGTAAACAAACGACCTCACACGTCTAATACACACCAGCTGGTGGGTCTAATATACATTCACAAATATGGTGATGATATTTATACAATTATTACAATATTGCATAACAGTAAATCTTCTATTTTTTGGTGTGAATAAAAATTCATTATGTGAATAAAAAATCAAAATGGAATTTATTTGTAAAGCCTCAAAACGTAATTAATGAACAGAAAAAATTTTAGTTTAGTTCCAGGAATACCTACATTGTTTATTCTGGACCCTATTTTGAAATTGGAATATTTTGAACTTTGTGTTAAATTGGCCAAATTAACAATTTCCAATCACTTTATTTGTAGTTGAAATAGTTGACTTGGCGATTTCTTGTGCTCAATCGATATTATTATTATTATAATAAAAAAGAAGCGCTAAGCCACAAGGGCTATGCAGCGCTGCAGGGTAGGGAAGGAAGCGAGGGTATTGGGCGGCAGAAGGGAGGAGGGATGATCAGTAGGTTACAGAAAACAGCGGGGCAGGGGATAGTATGGGGGTAGAGGGTAGCAAGAGATTGAGGTAGAAAGGGCTGAAGGTATCAGAGTTTGTGAAGTAAGTCAGTTGTTGTCAAAAAGTCAATGAGAGAGTCTGGATGAAAGGTGGGTCCATCAACGAGAAGGGAAGGTAAAGAGAGAGCAGCGGAGCGAAGACGACGACGGAGGTAAATTCTGCGTGCTCGTTGATAAAGTGGGCAGTCCAACAGAATGTGGCTGATTGATAATGGAGCCTGGCAATTCTCACAGAGAGGAGCAGGGCACCTCTCCATGAGATATCCATGAGTAAGACGAGTATGGCCAATGCGAAGACGGGAGAGAGTAGTCTCCCAACCTCGACACTGGTGATAAGAAGACGGCCAGTAACCCATACTCGGTTTAATGGATTGAAGTTTGTTACCGAGCATAGTAGACCAATGTTGTTGCCAACGGTTGTGAAGGTGGGAAGATATTGCAGCAAAATAGTCCATAAATGGAATACCTCTATATGAAACTGGTAGGTCAAGTACTGCTGACCGCGCAGCAGTGTCTGCCTGTTCATTGCCCTGTACGTCAACATGACCAGGGACCCAACAAAAAACAATATCTTTATGCTTGGTAAAGATGCGGCGTAGCCAAAGTTGGATACGGAGGACTAAGGGGTGAGGTGTATCAAATTTCTGTATAGCCTGTAAAGCGCTAAGGGAGTCTGAGGCAACCACAAATGATGACACAGGCATAGATGCAATACGGATAAGTGCTGCAAGGATGACATACAATTCAGCAGTAAAAATACTAGCCGAAGATAGTAAATGCCCTCGTACGACGCTGTCCGGAAACACTGCTGCGAATCCTACGCTGTCAGAAGACTTAGAGCCATCTGTGTACACAGCAATGGCATGAGAATGAGAGTGGAAGTGGTCAAGAAAAAGAGAGCGGGAAGCGACCATAGACAGTTGGGCTTTCGAGCAAGGGAGAGAGAAAGAACAGACTCGAAAAGCTGGAACTTCCCAGGGGGGTAGGGAAAAGTGAGATGCTACATGAACATAGAAAGGTGGTAATTGAAGAGAAGACAAGAGCGAATGAGGGCGAAGAGAGAAGGGACGGAGTAAACAGGGGCGGCGAACAAATAAAGAATGTCTACTAATATCAGTGACCATTCTATAAATGGAAGGATTGCAGAGATCATGAGAGCGTACATAGTAGCGAAGGCAATGGGCATCATGGCGATCGGATAAGGATGGAACGTTCGCTTCTGCACAGAGGCTCTCAACAGGGGAAGAGCAAAAAGCACCAAAGCATAAACGTAATCCTTGGTGATGAATGGGGTTAAGGCTAGAGAGAGTAGCAGGAGATGCCGCTGAATAAATCTGGTCACCATAATCAAGTTTCGATAAAATGAGGGTGGAATGTAGGCGAAGGAGGGTTCGACGATCAGCTCCCCATGAAAGATGAGAAAGGGTTTTAAGAAGGTTCAGCCGGCTGTGACAAGTTGCCTTCAGAGAGGTAATGTGAGGTTTCCAGGATAACCTACAGTCAAAGAGGAGGCCCATAAACTTGACTGTATCACGTTCAGGGATACGGGAGCCATAGAGGTACAAAGGATGTTCGGAGATGACAGAGCGTCGAGTGAAAGTAATTTGGTGGGTTTTAGTGCTGGAAAATTTAAACCCGTGTGTGGTGGCCCAATTGGAAATACGGTCGACCGCATGCTGGAGAGAAACTGTAATGAGGTGACAGTCAGCGCCTGCACAGGCAATAGCGAAGTCATCAACATAGAGTGATGACCAAATATTTGATGGAAGACTAGAGGCCAAATCATTAATAGCAAGGAGAAAAAGTGTTGTGCTCAGAACACATCCCTGGGGGACACCTTCAGCTTGGATAAAGTCCGGGGAGAGCACATTATTAACCTGAACACGGAAATGTCTATCAGTTAAAAAGTTCTTAAGGAAGGATGGTAGATTGCCTTGGAGGCCTAAGGAGTGGGCTTGGGCCAAAATATTATACCTCCAAGTTGTGTCATATGCCTTCTCAAGATCAAAAAATATGGCAATAACTGAGTGGTTATTCGCAAAGGCATTATGAACATACGTATCCAAGCGTAGTAAGGGGTCTATGGTAGAACGTCCCTTACGAAAGAAATATTGACGAGTGGAGAGACTATTGTGTGTCTCTAAATACCACACTAAACATCTATTTACCAGGCGTTCCATCACTTTGCAAACTGCACTGGTAAGAGCAATGGGATGATAGTGGGAGGCTTCATGTCCCGTAGTGCCTGGTTTGCGGAAAGGGAGAACAATGGCAGATTTCCACAGCTGTGGAAGAACTCCTTGTGACCAAATAAGATTGAAAAGGCATAATAGGACTGCAAGGGCTGACTGATGTAAATGTTGTAGCATACGAATATGAATGTCGTCGGGCCCAGCTGCCGATGATCAGCAAGCTGAGAGTGTTGCCTCCAGTTCTTGAAGTGTAAAAGGCACATTATACTGTTCTTCTCTGAGAGAAGAAAAGTCCAAGGGTGCTAACTCTCTGGCAGACTTTGAGGAAAGAAACGAGGGGCATAGATGGAGCCCCTGAGAAATACGGACCAGATGATTGCCAATTTCATTGGCAACATCTAGTGGGTTTGCTATATCAACACCGGCAACCCGCAGAACAGGAGCCGGGTCAGGAGAATATTTACCACTCAGTTTTCGTACTTTTTTCCAGACTGCACTCATAGAGGAAGCAGAGGTGATGGTGGAGACATAATCTCGCCAGCAAGTGCGTTTAGCGTCATGGATGACACGGCGAGCGATCACACGCTTCTGCTTAAAATCAAGAAGTCTCTCCGTGGTTCTATTGTACCGGTACCTGCCCCATGCAGCTCGTTTCAAACGTACTGCACGAGCACAAGCAGGAGACCACCAAGGCACGCATTTCTGAGAATGCCTGCCTGGGTTATAGAATGAGAAGCTGCGGTTAAAACGGAGGACGAGAAGAGGTGTAAAAGCTCATCAATGGAGGATGAAGAAGGAACCTCACTAAACACAGTTAGTTATGAGTAAAGGTTCCAATTTGCCTGATCAAATTGCCAGCGTGGGATACGAAGAGGTGGTGAATATGAAGGGGAAGTAAGAATGATTGGGAAATGATCACTGTCATGTAAATCCGGGAGAACAGACCAGGTGAAGTCTAAGGAAGAGCAGACTGAGAGATCGATGCAAGAGAGAGTGTGAGTCCGAGGATCAAAATGGGTGTGAGTACCTGTATTTAAAACATGGAGGGGGTGGGTGGCAAGAAAGCCCTCTGTCTAACTGAATGCCACGGGAATCACAGTGAGACCCCCCCCAGAGGAAATGATGGGCATTAAAATCGCCAAGTAACAGAATCGGTGGTGGTAATGACGAAACAAGAAAGGCAATATCCGGAATAGATAATGCCCGAGAAGGAGAGAGATATAAAGAACAGAGCGTATACCACCTATGCAAGTGGATACGGGCTGCTGTGTAATGCAGCGAAGTACTAACAAATAGCGATGGTACTGAATATCAGTGTGTAGAAGAAGGGCACTTTCATTAAAGGTCCCATCAGGAAAAGGATCTGAAGAATACAATAAATTATAGCCTGAGATGGGAGAGATAACAGCAGAGTGTAATTTTGGTTCCTGTAAGCAAACACCAACAGTGGAAAACTGGGAGAGTAACATCTGAAGCTCACCCTGATTACCCCTGAGGCTGCGTATATTCCACTGTAAATAGGCCATGATTGGCAATGATAAAGGTACTTGAAATCCGCAGGTAAGGGTTCCTACGGACTAGAGGGGTTAGTAAAGTCCACATGCGGAGGCAGCGGAAAACGTTCAAGCAGCGAAGGAACGGTGCGCTGTGAAGAAACGAGTTGCGCAGATGGAGGAGAGGAGAGAGAAGGAACAGAGGGTGGATCAGTGTCCATTGATGGTTTGGTCTCTGCAATATATTCAGAGATTGCTTCAAGTGTTTCAGAATTCAGAGATGTCGTATGGGAGACAATATTGGAGATGGTAGGGGGAGGATGAGTAAAGATTGGAACTGTAATGGACTGTACCAAGGTAGGGGGGGGGCGAAAGGGTGGAGGGAACTGGAGAAGAAGCATGGAAGGGGACAGAAGAGGCAGAAATCTGGGAGGTGGCAGAAGAGGAAGAAACTTGGGAGGGAACAGGGGAGGTAGGTATAGTACGAGGAGGAGGGTGAACCTCTACACTTGTAACAGAGCCAGTGAGAGGGGAAGAACCCAGTACAGAGACAGGGAAGGTAAAATGAGGAGGTGGAAGGAGGGGTTAAAGGACCTTTTTTTGACTTCTGAGAAGTAGAGGGATGTTTGGGAGGAGGTGTCGTACGAGGTCTCGTCGATACTGAGGCTTGTGAGGGAGAACACGAAGAAGCGAGAACAGACTGAGGCGTTGAAGTAGGGACGTCTGAGCCTAGGACAGCAAAAGAATTAGATACAGGAGTGACTATGGGAGAGGTAACCACAGAGGAGGCTGCAGAAGATGGGACCCCAGAAGTGGGGGGACATTTTGAAACACGGGAATAAGAAACACGAGGTAGTTTCCCTTGGAGGCGGAGATGAGAAACTGCCATGGCATAAGGGAGACTTTCTGCCTCTTTGAGGTAATGGATTTCCCACTCATTTAAGTAGACTTGGCAACGGCGAGAGTACGAAGGGTGAGCCTCATGACAATTAAGGCAAGAGGGAAGTCGATTGCAAGACGTATTAGAATGGTCATCGGCACCACAGACTGGGCATTCTGCTATGGATCTGCAATATTTCGCTGGATGGCCAAATCGCCAGCAATTTCTACACTGTTGCGGTGTAGGGATCACCTTTCGAACTTGTAACCGATGTCCTGCTACATAAACTGAGGATGGGAGTTCACGGCTGTCAAAAGTTAAACAAGCCACATTGCTAGGGTATCTTCTCCGCCCGCGGGCAGGAAGAACATAAGTGTCTACCTTGAGGATTGGGAGATCTTGGAGTTCCAGCTGTTCAAGAATGTCATTGCCACATGTCTGGAAATTTTGTTGAACTATGGTATGGGGCAGAATGACGGTACCACTACAAAAATTGAGGGAATGATGTTTTTCAATAGTGACAGGAACAGTATCTCTGTGGGAAAGAAGAGAAAGATCATGAGCTTGGGTAGCATTCTGTACAGTGATGATGCACGTACCGCTCTTAAGAGCATGAAAAGAAATATCTTTACCAACATGGCGTAGGAGTGCCTTGCCAATACTGTGGTTGGAAAGATAGGCGGTAGAGGAAGTCGGTCGTAAAGTGAAGAATTTAGTCCATTGTGCAGTCTGAAACTGAGCGTGGAAAGGGAGTGCAGGACGTGTCGATCTTTTCTGAGAAGAACGAGAAGGTGGAGAAGTATCATCAGCAGGTAATTGTCATTGGCGTTTAGGCGTGGGACCAGAGATGGTCCGATGTGGAACGGGCCGGCGATTCGAAAATTGCAGCACCGTAGAGGGAGAGGCCGGAAGCATAGTCAAACGAGAGCGGAGGTCAGATAAATCAAAGGAGTCAGTCAAAACCTCAGTACCTGAAGCGGGTGAGGAAACAGCACCAGCAAGAGGTACAGAGGCATGAGGAGTGTCCAAAGAGTGGTCCAAAGACGAGGCGGGGTCAGAACGGGGTGCGGTATCAAGAAGGGGCCTGGGGGTACCAGGTTCATGGACTGGGGCTGCCATGGTTAGGTTACCTCTTTCTTTTTGTTTTTAAGAAAAAAAAAGAAAGAAGAAAATAAAATAAAAATAAAAAAAGAATAAAAAAAAGGGGGGGACCTGGGAGGGATAGTTCCTAGGAGGAATGAAAGGGCCAGAAATCTCCCTCCGCGCCCAAGAGGACCTCAGCACCGCAAGTAGGGTAGATGCAGCATGGTACCCGTGCCACACCCTACCCATCATGCCAGTAAACCAGCAATCCGGGATAGCAACCTCACATCTGCTGAGCTACCTCGGTGGACAAAAGAGAGGGCGGCCGGATATCCGCCACAAAGCATACCTCCTTCGGCCACCACCCCCGGAATCCAAAAGGTGGCTTCCAGAGATACACCCGTCGCCCGAAAGACACCCAAAGCCACTCTCCGGGATACCGGAGAGGGATCGGGACATCCCCAGGCAGTCCAGATTCCACGGCAAACTACACCACCGCCAAGAACCTCAATGGAATGGGATGGACCCCGGTACCCTTTCCCCTACCTAGGAACTAGTGTGCCTGTGGGAAAAATCCCAAAGGCCAAAAAGAGGAAGGGCAAAAGGGAGGGGTGGGGAGGGGGAGGAGGAAAGGGAAAAGGGGAGGATGGGATAGGGAAGGGGAAATTGGGGGGTAATTAGGTTCGGTCTGAGGAAGGAGACCGACGGGTCTAATTCCTCAGACCAAGAGCCTCTTCACCACGCCAAGGAGCCCCCCTTGAAGAGGCTCAATCGATAGAATAGAAATAATACTAGTGAAATAGCTAAGAATTTGGTTGACTGGAATAATGTAATTGGCCTAAAATGGGAGTCAAAGTCGGCAAAATCACCGGTTCGTAAATATCACTGACACATCAAAATTCGCGAGAGCATAATTTCGTCAATTTTCCATCAAATTTCGTACTTTTTGTTTTATTACCTTTACAAAAAGAATCTCTACCATTTCATAAGAAAAAATAAAAAATTTTTGTTTTGAAAATTCTTGGACACTGGGGCACCACTTCAGATTTGGGCCTTGGACCCTGAAGGGGTTAAAATGATAGAAGGAAAAGTGGTAATCAACATCTAATTAAATACTCTGTCAGTATCACTACAAAGTATTGAAATTACTGTAATAGGTATAACGAGGAACTATTTGAATTACCCTTATCAAGTATCACTATGAAATGTTCATGTTATATATAGTATGATGAATGTTATATGGTCTTTTGTTACTCATATCAGTGCAGTATCATTATGAAGGATGAGATACTGTATATACATTATTATAAATAAATGACAACAGTACTCCCTCACTTTGAGTAGCTTCTTTCAGAACAAATTAAAATTTGGATTACAGTGGAACCTCGGTTTTCGTATGCCCTAGTCTGTATGTAAAACTATAGTTATTCTCTATAAAATGTATTTTTTGTTAATATTTCCCATAAAAAATAATGTGAATCCAATTAATCCATTCCAGACACCTAAAAATATTAACAAAAAATACATTTTATAGAGAATAACTATAGTTTTGAATACAGACTAGGGCATATGAAAACCGAGGTTCCACTGTATCTATTTTTTTTACACCAATGATGAGGTTCAAAAATAGTATGACAGTGAGAAAAATCACATGTACTTATTGTCTATGAATAGATCTCATAGTTTTAAATCATGCTCATTGTCTTTGGCTGTTGGTGAAATGTGTGATTATGATACCCCAATTTGATAATTTGTTTATTTTACATAAGACCTGGACATTGTTTGCAATTTAATTTATAAGTACATTAAGCAACAGTGTTTTGGTTCATCCTGGACCAGATCACATATGTAGTGACTTGACAATGGTCCGGGAAGGACTGAAATGTCATCATAAGATTCCTCTTGTAAATGTGGGTTGTTTGTGAATTCTTCCAGTCATTGTATTGAAACTTTTTATTCCTTAGTTTACCTGCTGTCCAGAAAACATCCTTTTTTATTCAGACCTCATCCACTGTCATAATATACCATGTATTATTGTAAAAATCATTCTTGTACCTTGGCTAGGTTTAAATAGAAGTTAGTGTATTTTGGTTATAAATACTCCTTGCATTTGGCTAAGAATGACTAAAAGTAGCCATTCATTTTATTTTTATAGTAAGCTTTTCTTTTAAACTAAATTGATCAAATTTTACCACTTAAGCTTATTGATATCATTTTAAATACATATTTATAAGATACTCCATGGGGAAGTGAACAGAATTCTTCCTCCATGAGCCATGCATGTTGTAAGAGGCAACTGAAATACCGGGAACAAGGGGCTAGTAACCCCTTCTCCTGCATACATTACTAAATTTAAAAAGAGAAATTTTCGTTTGTCTTTTTAGGTCACCCTGCTTTTGTGGGATATGGCATTGCAGATGTAATTTGTAACAAATTTCTCCAGGAAGATTTTCAGCAATATTCTGTTTTAAATTTTGAAAGAGGCTTGCAGTATTAATTTTTATTTGTACTTTACAGCGATGTTATCAGATGATTGATCGACGGTTACGTAAAAACCTACAGGGCCTCTACTTAGTTCATCCAACATTCTGGGTTAAGACAGTAGTAGTAATGACAAGACCATTTGTCAGGTGAGAATATTGTATGTTTTCACTGTGTATTTGGTGACTGTATAATGTAATTATATGTGATCCTTCTTTAAGCAGAGCTTTCAATCTTGGCTTATAAACCAATAATTGTTCCACTCCGTATTTATACACCCTCTTTGCCATCCTTAATAAATGCTCTAACCTCCTCAACAACCCCTCCTTAGCCCTCTGAATTATACCCTCATTGATCTCACACTATTCTCTTTTCTATGTTCTGAATTCCCTACACAATATTTACATCACACATTGCTCTCAAACATGATATTTGCACTGCTTCTAGCATTCTTCTCGCTACATAATTCAAACCCATGCCTCACACCCATATTTAAGTGTTGGTATCACTAGACTGGTACATTCTCTTTTTTTGGCTCTATAGATAAATTTTCTTTCCCCATATGTGTCTACACACTATATACCTTATTTTCCCTTATCTATTCTGTGCTTCACCTCATCTTTCCTTGACCCATACAACCAGTTCCTCCATACCCCCTCCCTCCAAGTCTTAGATTCAATCTTTCATTGCCTAGACTTTGTTATTCTCATCACCTTGCTTTTTTCTTTTGTTGTTTCAATGTCCTTCTTATACGTACCCTTCCAAAATCGTCCACCAATCTTTGCAACTTATCTTCAGAATCTCCAAAAAGAATCAAATCTCACCAACACTATCCTTCACTTCTTTTTAACCCCATTTATAAATATGTTAAACAACTATGGGAATTGACACAGTTACTTTTTGCTGATGATACTGTGCTTATGGGAGATTCTAAAGAAAAATTGCAAAGGTTAGTGGATGAGTTTGGGAATGTGTGTAAAGGTAGAAAGTTGAAAGTGAACATAGAAAAGAGTAAGGTGATGAGGGTATCAAATGATTTAGATAAAGAAAAATTGGATATCAAATTGGGGAGGAGGAGTATGGAAGAAGTGAATGTTTTCAGATACTTGGGAGTTGACGTGTCGGCAGATGGATTTATGAAGGATGAGGTTAATCATAGAATTGATGAGGGAAAAAAGGTGAGTGGTGCACTGAGGTATATGTGGAGTCAAAAAACGTTATCTATGGAGGCAAAGAAGGGAATGTATGAAAGTATAGTAGTACCAACACTCTTATATGGGTGTGAAGCTTGGGTGGTAAATGCAGCAGCGAGGAGACGGTTGGAGGCAGTGGAGATGTCCTGTTTAAGGGCAATGTGTGGTGTAAATATTATGCAGAAAATTTGGAGTGTGGAAATTAGGAAAAGGTGTGGAGTTAATAAAAGTATTAGTCAGAGGGCAGAAGAGGGGTCGTTGAGGTGGTTTGGTCATTTAGAGAGAATGGATCAAAGTAGAATGACATGGAAAGCATATAAATCTATAGGGGAAGGAAGGCGGGGTAGGGGTCGTCCTCGAAAGGGTTGGAGAGAGGGGGTAAAGGAGGTTTTGTGGGCAAGGGGCTTGGACTTCCAGCAAGCGTGCGTGAGCGTGTTAGATAGGAGTGAATGGAGACGAATGGTACTTGGGACCTGACGATCTGTTGGAGTGTGAGCAGGGTAATATTTAGTGAAGGGATTCAGGGAAACTGGTTATTTTCATATATAGTCGGACTTGAGTCCTGGAAATGGGAAGTACAATGCCTGCACTTTAAAGGAGGGGTTTGGGATATTGGCAGTTTGGGGGGATATGTTGTGTATCTTTATATGTGTATGCTTCTAAACTGTTGTATTCTGAGCACCTCTGCAAAAACAGTGATAATGTGTGAGTGTGGTGAAAGTGTTGAATGATGATGAAAGTAATTTCTTTTTGGGGATTTTCTTTCTTTTTTGGGTCACCCTGCCTCGGTGGGAGACGGCCGACTTGTTGAAAAAAAAAAAAAAACTATGGTTACAGTCCATATTCCTGTCTAAGTCCTGCATTAGGTGGGAAAAGTCCTCCCTTTCTCATACATTCCCTAACTAGAGCCTCTGTCTGCATAAAAATTTTACTGCTTGTAGAAACCTATCACCTCCATACATTTGCAACATTTATGACATTGCTCTTTTATCCATCCTACATGTCTTTTCTAAATTCATAAATGCCATAAACAGCTTCCTACCCTCATCTAAGTGTTGTTCATTTATATGCTTCAGTGTGAACACTTGTTTAACACATCCTCTACCCTTCCTAAATCCTGCCTTACCCTGAACTCTGTCAGTAATAATTCTACCATTCACTTTACCTAATATACTGAACAGACGGCTTCTTCTTCTTTCAACACACTGGCCATGTCCCACTGAGGCAGGGTGGCCCAAAAGGAAAAACAAAAGTTTCTCCTTTTACATTTAGTAATATATACAGGAGAAGGGGTTACTAGCCTCTTATAATTCTTGAATTCTATCTTGTCTCTTTTTTCCCTGACATGAGGGAACTATGCATGCTCTCTGCTAATCCTTAAGTACCCTCTTTTCTTTTATGAATGTATTGAACAAATACTACTCCAACTGCTCCAACATTGTTCCCACCTGTTTTTGACGTTTCTGTGTTACTCACATCTGTCCCAGCTGCTTAACCCACTGAACCATTAAAAAAGTACTTTCTATTACTGATGGATTTTAAACACAACAATTGTGGTTGTACTTGTTCAAAAGGAACATGCAGGTGATGTTTTCAGTGTATTTTCAGTAATCTGATCTTAGTAATAAAGAATAATATTGTATGTATACAATACTTATATAAACAAGTACAGTAAATACTGCTTCTGAATTTGTGTTATGTGCTTATATACACATGAATAGTGTCTAGTATACAGTATGTAGATGCAGTATGTGCACATACACTAAGTCAGTGTATATTGTGCTTTGTCCATCTTATAAGAAAAAACATTCTGATTACATTTTTTCTTTAATTTGCAGTGCAAAGTTTGCTCGAAAGCTAAGATTTGTGAATAACTTAAAGGAATTGTCCGGTCTCATCCCCATGGATCAAGTGTGCATTCCTGACCGTGTCAAACAGTGAGTTCAAATTTTGAATTCTTATCAGTTCACAGTATTGTTAAGAAATAACTTTTTTGACAAAAAATCTAAATACAGATAGTATAAAAATAGCACTCATAGAATAAAACAGTGAGTAGCTGCTATGAAGCTCAGATACACTTACATTTCCCTAGGAATAAGTGAGCACGTGTGATGTGTTCACTGGACTCTTGTTGTCAGGTCATAGACCAGCCTTACCTATGCAACATTGCATTTTCTTACAGCACTGGGCACACTACTTGTAATTGATTAATGGTTATAACACCTCATCTGTGTGTCTATAAACGGGTCTAGGGTCTTGGGATAATATAACAAATGCTTTATAAGACAGTGAGTGTGAAGGTTTGTCAGTGCTAGACGCCTTCACTTGCTATACTAGAACATCCCCTTGATTCTAAGAATTGGATTTGTTCTTCCTTTCCTTGGATTGAGCCTGATTGCTTCCCATTTTCCCAGACGCTGTATGACCCTATGGGTTGAAGCACTTTCCCCTAAATGTAAAAATAATAATGTACTAGGACATACAGATACATACCCCAATCTAAGTTTTGCTACTGTACTCTCCTAAGAGAAAAAGGGTAATAGGTTCTTAATGTATTATATTATAATTATTATTGCCTGGTTTTGTTATGTGTTAATTAGCATTAGGTGCAGTAGTTTTGAGTCCTAGTTCTAGTTTGCTTGCAATGCCTTTTATAATTGGGATTGTCAAAAAATGCATATAGATATGTAATCCAAACACTGTAACAACACACTGTAATTTTTGAGGGGGATAATGAATTTGATTTATTGATTTATGGAGGAAGTACTGAAGTATTTAACATGTAACTATTTTTATACTAACTATTAAATACCAATTCATTCTGTATATGAATTTTGTGTTTATTATTATTATAATAGGTCATTGAGTGCAGTGGATAGTGCAGAGGTAGAGGGTAGCAAGAGATTGAGGTAGAAAGGGCTGTAAGGAGTACTAGAGGCATCATCATCAGAGTTTGTGCAATAAATCAGTTGTTGTCAAAAGTCAACAGAGTCTGGGTTAAAGGACGGTCCATCAGCAAGAAGGGAAGGTAAAGTAAGGGCAGTAGAGTGATGCCGATGTTGGAGGTAAATTCTGCGTGCTCATTGATAGAGTGGACAGTCCAAGAGAACATGGCTAACAGAAACTGGAACCTGACAATTCTCAGAGTGGAACAGGGCACCTCTCCATGAGATACCCTTAGTAAGACGAGTGTGGCCGATGCAAAGAAGGGAGAGAGTAGTCTCCCAACCTCAACAATGATGACAAGAAGACAGCCAGAAACCTATACTTGGTTTAATGTAATGTAATTTGTTATGTAGCAGATTAGACCAATGTTGTTGCCAATGGGTGCAAAGGTGGGTAGTAGTTACAGCAAAATAGTCTGTGAATGGAACACCTCTATATGAAACTGGGAGGTCATGTACTGCTGACCGCACAGCAGTGTCTGCCTGTTCATTGCCCTGTACATCAACATGACTGGGGACCCAACAAAAAAATATTTGTGCTTGCTACAGATACGGCGTAATCAAAGTTGGATACAAAGAACCAGGGAATGAGGTGTATCAAATTTTCTTATAGCCTGTAAAGTACTAAGGGAGTCCAAAATGACCACAAATGGTGACACAGGCATAGATGCAACATGGATAAGTGCTACAAGAAAGGCATACAATTCAGCTGTAAAAATGCTAGCTGAGGATAATAAATGTCCTCACACAATGCTGTCCGGAAACACTGCTGCAAATCTGACACTGTCAGAAGACGTGGAACCATCGGTATACACTGCGATGGCATGAGAATGAGATCAGAAGTGGTTAAGAAAAAAGCGAGAAGCCACCGTAGGCAGGTGGGCTTAGACGCATGGCAGTGGGAAAGAACAGACACGAACTGTCGAAACTTCCCAAGGGGGTGGGGAAAAGTGAGATGCTACATGAACATAGAAAGGTGGTAACTGAAGAGAAGACAGAGCGAATGTAGGCAAAGAGAAAAGGGACGGAGTAAACAGGGGCGACGAACAAATAGATAATGTCTATTAACATAGTGACTATCCCATATATGGAAGGATTGCGGAGGTCATGAGAGCGAACATAATAGTGAAGGCAGTGAGCATCACAGCTATCAGTCAAGGATGGAATATTCGCCTCTGCATAGAGGCTCTCAACTGGTGAAGAGTGAGAAGCACCGAGGCATAAACGTAATCCCTGGTGATGGATGGGATTAAGGCTAGAAGGAGTTGCAGGAGAGGCTGCTGAATATATCTGGTCAAAATAATCAAGTCTCAATAAAATTAGGGGTGAATGTAGTCAAAAGAAAGTTCTACGATCAGCCCCACATGAAAGATGAGCGGGGGCTTTGAGGAGGTTCAGCCGGCTATGACAAGTTGCCTTCAGAGAGGTAATGTGAGGATTCCAGGATAACCGACAGTCAAACAGAAGGCTGAGTAACCTGACCGTATCACGTTCTGGGATACACGAGCCATATAGGTATAGTGGATGATCAGAGACGACAGAACGTCTAGTAAAAGTAATTATGTTGGTGAGTTTTAGTACTAGAAAATTTAAACCCATGAGTAGTGGCCCAATTGGAAACACAGTTGACTGCATGCTGGAGAGAAACTGCAGTGAGGTGACAGTCAGCACCTTCACAAGCTATAGCATAGTCATCAACATATAGTGATGACCAAATATTAGATGGAAGAATAGATACCAGATCATTTATAGCAAGGAGAAAAAGTGTTGTGCTCAGAACACATCCCTGGGGGACACCTTCAGCTTGGACAAAGTCCAGGGAAAGCATATTACTAACCCAAACACGGAACTGTCTCTCATTATAATCAAAGAACGTTCTAAACCGACAAGGGTCATACAGCGCTATAGGACAGAAAATAATGCTGGGGCTATAAACAGCTAGGTGGAGAGGGGATCAGAGATGAGGGGAGAAAAGGGTTGGAAGGGACACTAAGGGCTGTGTCAAAGCTCGTATAGTAATAATAATAATAATAATAAATTTATTTTGACATGATACATGGTTGTACAAAGGAATATAATAGTTGAGTGTACATGTCAAAAGCCCCTTGTATGCAGAGCATTTCGGGCAAACTTAAAATTAACTTAAGATTAATAAGGCTATAACAGATTAAATGGTCATTAGATGAGTTATAGTGAGTACAAGAGTACTGAGTATTAATAGGTAATGATGTATGGTTTTAATAAGTCTAATAGAGAAGTTTAGTAGAGAATAACTGCAGGTTTGAATTATTTTATAAAAATTACAATATTACAATAGAACAATTTAAGCAATTTACAATATGAAGTATTACAAGTATTTAAAACGATGAAATTTGAACATCATAATTTTCAAGTAACGAGTACATGGTTGAGCAATCTTCAGCACAGTAATCTGTATTGAAATTGAGACATCATTAGTATGTATTTTTTTGTGTAGCTTTTGAGTAACTAGTAGGTATTAAGTACAGTTTGTCTGATTAATTTTGGGTGATGAGATTTCCAAGTAGGGCTTTAAATTGATTTGCAGGCAGGAGTCCTTTAGTGTGTTCTGGTAATGAGTTCCAGATCTTCAGGCCCTCTACATGCATAGCATTTTTGCACAGGGAGAGATGGACACAAGGGATATCGAAGAGTGATTTGTGTCTTGTATTATGGTTGTGTGTTCTGTTGTAGTGATCAAGTAGGAGCTTGAGAGGAGGGTTTATATTTGAGTGTAGTGTTCTGTGTATGTAGTAGGCACAATAATAAGTGTGGATGTTTTTGTATATTAAGTAAGTTAAGACTCTTGAAAAGTGGAGAAGTATGCTGTCTATTACAGCAGTTTGTAATCAATCGCACTGCAGCTTTTTGTTGGGTTATTAAGGGTTTAAGGTGATGTGCTGTGGGTGAGCCCCATGCACAAATACCATAGATGAGATAAGGGTAGATGAGAGAGTGGTACAGTGTAAGAAGAGCTGATTGGGCTACATAGTACCGTATCTTTGAGAGGATGCCTATTGTTGTGGAGAATCTTGGATATTTGCTGTATGTGGGTTTGGAATTTGAGATTGCAGTCTAGGTGGAGACCTAGAAATTTACCCTCTGTGTATCTAGAAATGGGTGAACCATTTATCAGCATGTTTAGCTGTACATTTGTAGCTCTGTTTCCAAATAGCATAAAATAGGTTTTGTCTATATTGAGAGTAAGTTTGTTGGTGGTCATCCAAGTAGATATTTTAAGTAGTTCGGCAATTACAGTTAGTATGGATGGGTTTGGGTGTGAAAAGACATAAGTATTGTCATCTGCAAACAAAATGGGTTTAAGGAGTTTAGATGCATTCGGGAAGTCATTGATATAAATGAGAAAGAGAAGTACAGCAGTTGCTGACAAAAAGTCAAAAAGTGATTGTAAGTCAAAGGCAGGGCAGTCTGCAAGGAGGGAAGAGAAGGTAAAAGTGGTAGGGCAGCGGCAGCGTAGGAGGTAAATCCTGCTAGCTCACTGGTAAACTGGGCAATCCACAAGAAAGTGAAGAACTGAAATAGGGACCCGACAAACCTCACAGAGAGGGATAGTGTGTCGTTCCATGAGATACCCGTGGGTAAGGCGAGTATGGCTGATGTGGAGATGGGAGAGTGCAGTCTCCCGAGTATGGCAACAATGGTAAGAAGATGGCCACAAACCTAAAAGTGGTTCAGTAGAGTGCAGTTTGTTATGGTGCATGCCTGACCACCGTTGTTGCCAACGGCCGCGAAGATGGGCAGAGATGACTCGTAAATAATCCCTGAACAGAATACCTCTTTAGGAAACCTGAAGATCATTTACTGCTGACTGCGCAGCAGCATCCGCCTGTTCATTGCCCTGCACATCGTGTCCAGGGACCCAACAGAAAACAACGTCTATGTTTTTGATAGCCACATGGTGCAACCATAGTTGAATACAAAGGACCAATGGATGAGGGGAATCAAATTGTTTA